TATGTATATGTATATATGTGTATATGTATATATATATGCATATGCATATATATATGTATATGCATATGTATATGCATATATATGTATGTATATCTATATATGTATGTATATATATGTATTTATATATAAATATGTATGTATATATATATGTATATATATGCATATTATATATGTATATGTATAATATACTATTTCCTACCATAGGGGAAACGATAACAATGGAAAGCGTTAGAAATAACACCTTAAGGTGAAAACACTGCCGCTAAGGGGAAATTTTAACAACGTTAAGGAGAAATCTAGACAAAGGATTTTTCTCCCTATTTGTGAGTTAGTATGTTATATATATGTATATGTATATGTATGTGTATATATATATATATATATATATATATATATATATATATATACATACATATATACAAACATATATACAAGCATACATACATATATACACGCATACATACATATAAAATAAAAATAATAATTGAATAATTACATTATGTCATCAACCTCCAACTTCATATCAAAACTTGGATTGATGATTACATATGAAATCTTGTTTCGCTTGTCACTAACTTCAGAATCTGCAAAAGAAATTACAGTACAGTCAATGAACATGGCTACAAGAAAAGCTATCATTCAACAACATATATTTAGTATTCACAACAGTAGAAAACCCTCAAATTTAGCAAATTTACACATGATTGTAGCAATTACTAGTAAAGTAATAATAGATTGAATCTTCTTTAAATGCAATTTTTGATCATTAGCAGTAATATTTATTTTTAGTTTTGTAAAATTAAATGCAAAATAATAACATGATTTGTTTATACCCATTATGTGCATTAATTGTTGAGTTTTCCCAATTGCTTTATTATTATAATGATCTTGAAAGTTGGGCATACACTGCACCAGATGGTCGCCGGCCGAAGCGATTCTATGTAGAACAAAACGTCACGACAAGAGTGCAATGGATAATTTTTACTGATCTGTTTTAACTGCCACCAAAAATCAGTAGATGGTGTTGCATCGTCTAACACTCAGAGAGAGTGGAGTTGTACTTGTTGTATGACCGTCATACGATGCAGTGATTGCCCGGCCTTATAATACAAAATGTAGCATCTTACCATATTCTTCTTCCGGTAGATCAAGCTTCTTCATTTTTATTCGCACCATATTTGCCAATTCCTTCCTTTCTCCACTAAAACCTTGTAAGCTATCATCATCTTCCATTGGCAATGAACACTTAAAAAGATTAAATAAATTAAATACAATTAAGCTATGTAAACAAATTGTTCATAAAGTTGTGGGCTAGTGAGCCCTCAACTGTGTATCAAATTGCTGGCAAATGGAGCAGTTTCAATTGTTCTCATGCCTCTTGATTGTCTTGTCTTTTCACCGTTTTCTTCTTTGGTTATCGTAGGATATTTAATGGTTATGTTAACATCCATCCTTACACGTACTGGCAATATTTTTGGAATAAAAAAAACAAACAAATTGTTTACATGGTCAACTGGTTTATAATTTTTGGTTCCCTGAATGTAACTGTGTAACAGTAACATAACATTTGCAAGATATAATAAAAACCCATTAATATTGCAAATGACATGCCCAGGAGACCTACTCACTTGATCAAATACTTGTACAAAAATATTTTATATATGGAAAAAACATATTTCTTTCAGGAGGTCTTTACAATCTCTATCTGTTTCTAAGTCAACTTAACCTTCTGTCAGGGCTGCAAATAAACTTTACTATGGCTACATACTTTAATATTTCACTACTTTGTTTCTAGACCAACTCATTAGCCATCTGTTAAAGCAAGCATACTAAAGTTACACCATTGAAATGAAAATTTGCTGGAATCGACTCATACCAAACTTATGAGTAAAAGTATTACAGCCACATCCTTATGCTAGTTACTCGTGTTTTGGGATGGAACTCAATAGTTTGATAATTTCTACTTTCTCAGGTTTTCAGCCATTTCTTAGACACAAGAAGTTTTACATAGATGACCCTACTGTAAGTACATGTTAGATTGTAGGCATTTACAGGGATGGAGATTATAATAACCTTTATATTTTTATAACTGAATTGTTATCATGTACTGTACACTTCCTCTACCGTTGGAGCGTTTGATGCTATGTATGCAATTCGGCCTCTGAACCTCAAAGTTGGGTCCAAAACCTCACTGTGCAATTCGCAAATGTGCCTTGTCAAAGCACTTTGATTGTACACAATTGTGTCTTTACTTTGCCTAACTGTCATGTGACATGCCTAAATATGGTCACGATGACATGACCCATATTATATAGGCACATCATCACTATATATGGGCATACTGTAGCTAGAAAAGCTTGACTGTCATTTCACTGATTAAAACTACAGCTGCAAAACTACACAATTCTCACCAGGGAGCTGAGTATGTGTTCCATAAATGTCTGATCCAACAACCGGGGTAATAATGTGTATTACAGAAGCCTTGTCGGCCGTAATACACTATAGGACCGAAATATATCTTTTATTACTACATGTATGGCATGCTCTTGTGAAGGCCACAGGAGTACAACTCAGTGCCATCTGACCCAGAGACAGAGATTACACATCAAAAATTACTGACATGGCTTCATATACTGTACTCTAATATGCAAATGTATAATGATGCACAGCCAGAATATTCATATTTTGTGTTCACAAAGTCCCTGTACTGACGTAGCAAATTCAGCTGGGTGACATACAGCTTCTTGCGTCATCTAAAGCTCTCCGTAATTATTTTGGCACTGAACTAAAAATCTGATTTACTCACTTCTGATTTGTTATCAGCTTGTCCAACTGTTCTGTAAATTCCAATAGGAATCTCATGGGACGTTGAGCAGAGCTTCTGGTAAAGGCGCCCATATGTCCTTATCCACAAATCTTCTGGTGTTATTGGCAACTAAAAAAAATGTTTACAAAGATCAAAATCATTTTAAATATTAACAGATTTTTAAAAATATTAACAAAGATAGTGCCTCTTGTTAAAGTGTTTTTGTAAGCTTTTCACTCTTTTGCATCTTATTTTTCTTTATTGGTCAGTTATTTCTTTTGTTTGTAAATTGTATTGTTTAGTTTCGTTTGATGCAATAAAAGTGACTAATGAAAAAAAAACCCTATAAAATGTTCATTTACCTCACAAAGATAGCCAGAATTTGTAGCCTGGTCCAATCCAAGTAGGAGACGCACAATGCTTATTGCATAGTCCTTCACAAATGACTGAAAATAATAGAGTACATACATATTATAAAATTGTTTGTGTAGTAGTGATGGTCCTGGTCAGCATTGTCTGAAGGGAGGAGAAAGAAGAGGTGACATAAAAAGACAAAAGGAAATAAAGAATGAGGAAAGGAAGAAGATGATAGAAAAATTCAATGGAGTGTCTTCTAAAATATAGAAAATATTCTCTGACAACACTATCAAATTTTCTTTGACAAGAAAACTGTTGTAATCCCATATATAGTCATGATGTGCCCATATATAGTCATGATGTGCCTATATATGGTCATGATGTGATGTCATCATGACCATATTTAGGCATGTCACATATGTTTGTCAAATCAAAATTTGATAGTCTGGACAGGGCATTAATCCTCACCTGGTATAGCATTGTATCCAGCATACTCGCACTGAAGACATTGCCAGCAGCAAATGGCAGACGAAACATGTATGAAATATTTGAGCCTTTCTCTTTCTCAAGCTAAAAAAAATTATCCAAAAACATTAAAAGATGAAAACAAAAAATGAAACAATCCATATGATTCTTTACATAATTGGTAGCATATTATGGGCTGTAAATGAATAAGAATAATGCTAATAATGACATTATCATAAGTTAACATTATTATGGAGAATGGTTTGTGCAGTTGCACTAAAGCAATGTAATCTTCTGGGTCAGAGTGCAACTTCCACTTTAGCTACTTGCCTGTGTTTACAATAATGATTGTTATCAATATGACATTTTGTCATACAATTTCCCATTATCTCACCTTCTGTTTCTCAGCCATGCGAAGTGCATAGAAATCCTTGGCTCTGAACTGCATAAATCGCATGTTAGCAGCATGTGTTAACTCAGTGATGATAGTGGTACTTGGAAACAATCTAAATAAAATTAGAAATAAAAAAATCAAATAAATTAAGAACTTTACATTATTTTCAATCTCCACCAAACCAAACCAAACCGCCACACTTGACAAATTAGCATGTTTCTCAGCTATTGCGATTTTTGCAACTGTTATTCCATAATTTAAATAATTGGCTAAAAATAGCCAAATTATAATTTGTTAGAAATTTTAATAAAAAAAAATCAATTTCCTAATATATATAAGAATATCAAATCTTAATTTCATTCATATAACTTCCATATTTTTGCACAGCAAAAAGGGTGACCAGTTTCCTAAGTTCCTGTGTAGCTAAGCTTTTGCCTACCAGTGGAGTGCTCCCTCAGGGTTCACCACTACATAATAAAAAACATTGCGAGGGATCTATTCATGTCAGATAATTGTGTTAGTCAGCATCGATCCTCCTTCATCTTGTAAATGCAATCATCCTTTGAATGTCTGTGACATAGCCACATCAGTAATCACTTCCATATAAAGAAGAAAATCACTGGCCCTTCAACATCCTATAATAATACCTGAACATCGTCTGCACCGCCACAATTTGGTTTGCATCTGCCATGTAGTCCTCCTCAGCTAACTTTGAACTTTCTCTGTCGACCACAACTACCGTGTCAGACTGAAGCATTCCAGCTCTTAACAAGTCATCCAAGCTAAAAAAAAATTACACAGAAGTTTTCTTAAGAAAGTTTGACTTTAAATGATTGTAGCTTGGTGGATATGATGTTTCCTATCAAATCCAGACGTTCTAACCCCTTGAACTTAATGTTTGAATGTGTGCTGGTGAAGTGCGCCCCAACCCTAGAAATGTGTTTTTCATATATGCATTCTGATATTTTGAGATGTCAGCAACACTCGGAAATTCTTTATCACTGTTGATGTGTGGTTGTGTAAAATGTCATTCTAAATTCACAATTCCTTGGAGGCTCAGTGAGTCATTTTCATTTATTGCACCTCAACATTCAAAGCTTTTCAAATTACCATAATGTAATCACATATATATTAAAAAAGAAAAAGTTCACCTACCTTTCTAATAATCCAATCATGAAGTATACCATAGGGAAGGAAGAAATACACTCCAGGAAATTATTATCGACACTGAAAAGAACAATGAAACACATGATTCAAAGGTCCTTTCAATAATATGTTGATTTTATAAACATTAAAACTATTTACACTTAGCCAAAAAGAAAAATGACTTGATGCTCTGGCTTTGGTTTAAACATTTTCAGTGTGAATTCTATGAATAACCCATGATTGTACGAAGACATTTAAAGTATTTTGCAGGAATTAAATCCAGTGTACTCTGTCCATAATGACGTCATTTGTAGATTATAAATACTTAGTTGTACCTTTTCTCCACCATAATAATTATAGGCTTAAGAGTGTGCTTAGGTCTGAAGTGCGCCCTCAGTGGTACAATGAAGTTCACCATTCCTTGTGCTGCATACTCTGCTGCGATGATAATGTTGTTGTTCGGCCAATTGTACTCCCCAGCGTGAGTCCACGACTTGTGATCACAAGGCTGCAATTTAACATAGATACATCAGAAACTTTAATACATTTGTTTCTTATTCTTTAATAATGTAATTTGCATATTTTTTATAGTTTTGATAATTTTTAAGTACCTCAAAATCATAACAGATGATTAAAAAAAATGTTTTGTATTCTTACTTTGTCAAGTTCTAAGCAACAATGTGGTTTGGGCGTTTCCAACAAATGACACATCATAGGAGAGTAGCCAATATATGGCATCACAGGAGGGTAACCCTTTGTCCACCTATCAAATTCAAATTAAGAGTATAAGTTATATTTCTGGATAAACATAGCAAAAACAGTAATCATGCTTTATGGAACTTATTTTGCTTTTATGTGCTATCTTATATCCTGAAATAAAATATATACTTATTTAATATGAAATAAATCATAATCTATAGAAATGTTTAAGTTACAATAAGAATAATAATATCAATAAACATATAATAACAAATAATATTAATAGCAATCAAATCAATAATATTAATAACAATAACAACAATGATAGAAATCAATAATGCTATTCATAACAATAAAAATATTATTGGCCTCATTTTGATAATACACATTTTACCTCTTGCAGAGATAAAATGGGGGAAGGTGGGGGGGGGGGAACCTTTCTAGTGATGTAATTGAAATAGACAATGTTAGATCATGGAGGAATTAGTTTAGAAACTAGATTAAGACCATGATTTGAAGTTGACAGCATGAATTGCAAATGCTGTATTGCTGCTCCCAAAATTTGAATTTATATTAAGACTTGAGGCAATTTGACTTATCAGGTAAGGATGACACAAAGAAGTGAAAAGAGGATATTTGATATTCTATGCACTACTGCAAGTTAATTCATTGCTTGTTATGAATATGTAACATAATAGCGTTGAAATTGATTTTCTGTGATGCAGAAGACACAATGGCTGGCTAGCTATAGCCCTTTACAATTGTTGCATCTAATAAAGTTAGTGAGCAGTGTGGGGCAAGGAGGTTGGAAGCTGTGTTAGATTGCAACTCAAAATTTATGTTTTTTGGTGTCATTAAATGCAGAAATTATTAAAGTAGGCTTATAATATTACACTTGGTAAATTTATTTTGCCTTGAAAATAAAGATATTCATTGGCTACATTTGGATAATGCTAACAAGGTTGTATTATCACGCATCATGTTGCATAAGAACAAACAAACGCACACTCAGTTGCTATTGATACTCTAGTTAATGTTTGAAACAAGGCCATATCTATTGTGATATGACCTTTTATAACAGCATTATTTTTATTGTTTGGAGAAAATGGTTAATGCAAGATGGTCTTAACTAATAGTATACTAGAATTGTTGGTAATTATTGAGATATTATTTAAATTGCATACATCAACGATGTTTTTGTTAATTGTTGCATAATCAAAGACATAAACTTGTGTATAATAATGTGTTATTGACAGCAATACAGAATCAAGAATACACAGGAATGGCAATGACAGATAATAACCTCTTAACTTAATAATAATGCAAATAATGTTTTCAAAACAATATTATAAGGAAGCCCAAAATAGAAGACAGTAATAATAATAATAATTTATAAAGTGCCAATATGATTATTAAAACAAAGTAAAAATCAAAGGAGCTGTGCATGTTTAGATGTTAAAAATGCTGGTTTTGAGTTCGATGGTCTTAACAATAGCAACTGAAGGTGATTCGGCAATATGTTTAGGGAGGAAGTTCAAAAGAGTGGCAGTTGAAAATATAAATGAGCCATAAGATTTGATGTTAAATTTTGAAACAATAGCTAATTAAGGTCGAAAGAATGTAGAGAGGATAAAGAGACATACTTAGAAAGGAGATCAAGTAGGTAAGTGGGCTGTTGAAATTTAATAATATAAATATCCTATTAAAGTTTTCATAAAGGTTCATAATAAACCAAACTGTCAATACACATATAAAAAATTCAAATCTCCTCCTGTCCTAAAAAATGCCCCTTACTTTTCTCCCTCCTCCCAAGTGTCCTCGGATTCATCCTGCACCTCCTTATGAGCATATAGTGGCTTATGATCCCGAAGCGGAGAATTGTCTGCCATTATCATCTCCGACACCGGCATTATTGATGGCCTTCGTTGACGGCGTGCTCCTATAGGAGGGGCATCACTTGATACATTCTCCTCTCCGGCAGGTGGTGGCATCAGAAGATGGCGATCTCCTGACGGGACTTGCAGAGTAGACCTCTCGTATGTTGGGTGGTTATTTTGTTCACGCATCTCAATTGGTAAAGTTCCTAAAGAACATAACAAAATTTGTTAAAATTAGAAAAAATTTGATCTAATCATTTATAACTATTCTCATCTTGAAGGATTTAAGTTATGCACCAGTAGTTGTAGAATATTTATATTTAATTGATTTCACTGAAACATAAATATACAGTAGTCAGGAATGTTTTACATTTGCTTTTATTTTACATTGAATTATAATCATTTTAAAATGTGTTGTATCTTTCTTATTTTAACTGATATAAGTGGTGTATTCTAAATGTTTTAAACATTTTAATATTATTAATTAAATCATTCTGTAGTTAACAAATTTTCCTTAAATTTGTCAATAAAATCATTTTGAATCTTGTATCTTGTCACATTTTTATAGTTTTCAATTCTTTTTATTTTATTTTAAATGGATTTTCAGTAACATAATATAGATAACAGAAATTAAGTTATCACCATACCCATCATAATCCTAATCATAGCCACCAAATCGTTTCATTATTGCTATTGTTCCACTAAACTAAAATACATTCAATATTACTAGTTTATTGTTATGAAATTTATCAATCTAATACCATTGTTGAATTTATTAATATTAATGATATATCAAAAAAAAAATATATATAATTTTGATCCCTTTTATCTGATAATCAATACTGTCACCTGATTAAATCATTTAATTAATACATCTGAATTGTTTAAAATATATATATTAATGATACCCAATACATTAGTACATTCAGTAATACATACATACAAACATGCAAATGAACATGGCAGGTATGAATAAACATGAGTAAAAATGAATAAACATGACCTATGAATAAACAGTAAAACACAAATAAACAATAGGAGAAAATTGAAACTATTATTAGTATTGTAATTAGTAAAATATAAAAAAGACTACTCTACCATATCCATTATCAGAATGTAGGTAAGAATGGCCCCGGAAAAAATGGCCCCAGAAAAAATGGCCCCGGAAAAAATGGCCCCAGAAAAAATGGCCCCAGTAAAAATGGCCCCATTATGACAGGTAGGTAAAAATGGCCCCAATGAAAAATTCGGTAATAGAAATGATATATATTTTTTTAAATCTTCAAATATTTAAATTTGTATAAGCAAGAATTGAATCAAGAAATAAAAAATGGCCCTCAATTATAAAATTAAAGAAAAAAAAAAAAAATAAACAAATGTTGTAAAATACCTTGTAGCAAAAATTTAATTAATAAATCAACATAAAGAATATGCATATTTGAGAACTAAAATAAATTAGTTTTTAGCTCCTATGAGTAGCTCTGGGAGTAGGTCTAAGTATTTTTAAAAATTATTAATATTATTAGATATTATAACCATATTTGCGGCAAATTATTAATATTATTATTATTATTAATGGCTCTGATGGGAGGCGCTAAAACATTGATTCGGCACCAGTTTTGAACGACGAACTTGCAGGGAATGTTATAAACCATTTTCACAAAATTTGAAATAAAAATTTCCAATAACGTGGCGAATACCAACGATGGGAACTTTCAGAGGCCTGGCATTTCGCGGTACGTCATGGATAACATCAACAACAAATCTAAATTGCTAACGAGCACAAACATTTTAAAACGGAAAAACAGTACAGTAAAATGTACAATAGTCAGCGAGTTTGTCAAACAAGGTATAAAAAAAGTC